ATCTCTAATGTGCGATCAGCTCTGCTTAAATTTGACATGTTTATCGACTTAAGGGTCCACAGGTTTATTTTTTACCATGATCGGTAATAAATTGCAGGTGGAGTTTTCTATAGACGCAGCCACATACTTCCGCAACCTTTTTATTTATTTTTTTTTTTAGAACAAAACATGTTAATTGTTTCATTATATGGGTGAGGGAATACATAAAATACTGCTGAAAATCATGTTTCTTTAGTTTTTGTATACATAAATTTTAGTAATTACTGTATTATTTCATTATGTTTTTGTTAAAATTCAGTTTAAAAAAATTTATTCGTTTAATGAAAACAAATTCAAGTGGTTGTTGCACCTCACAACTCACAATCTGCATTTTAAATTTGAATTAATTTAAGCTAATTAATGTAGTTGTTACAACACTACATTGTTAAACTTTTATTTTGAATATTTTTTAGTGAAATTGTTTACTCATAGAATTCTATATTTTTTTTTTTTGCAATTGATTAATCTGAGTAAATCCTTTTTTTCTTTTGTCTGAGCTAGTAGATTTTTGATTGCTGATTTTATATTCTGTATAATTCTTTTAGCTTTATGGTGAACACATTCAAAATTTAGGACTGTGAAGAAAGTATAAAATATTTTCAAATGAATTAGTTTCATGTTCTGCTGTCTACATTTTTTTTTAACTGAAAAGACCAACAAAAATCTTAACTGACAGCTCAGCTAATTATAATCGGGCTGTGATTTATTAAATGCAATCCATTAGGTCGAAATTAACCTCGAAAGTACAGAAAATGGCCCAAAAACGAGCGTCCATTTGGGAAATAACCCATGGCGACGCGGACAGATTGAATAACCCAAAGACGTGAAGAGGATTTAATTGCCGGTTAGCAGCCAGTTTCGATGTCATAACCGAGAATGTGTGTCAAACATCTCGTTTCCTGATTTTTCTCTCTCGCTTATCTCCGACCAAGAGAAAGAAAAAAAGATACAAATTCTAACTGCTGGTATTTTTACCTCGTTTGATCAAATTTATTTGATAATAAATTGTAATTCTGTCCTTTGTGTCACGGGAAGAAAAATTAGATTCCCATCAAAAAGCGGAACTTGTATAAATAGAGAAAACAAATATCTAAAGATTCCTTATAAAAAAAAAATACTAAGGTCTTTTTATTTAAAAATATCATGGATGTGGTAGCGATTTTTTGTTTGCTGTGTATTTGAAATCCATTTTCCCACAAACTCATCTCATCTCTCGTTTGGCCGCAAATTGTTTGCCCTCTGAGCGAAATCCATCCCATTTCGAGGCGTTTGATTGAAATCACAGAAAAAATCTAGGCTAAGACAATAACGGCAGTTGTTGTGTAAATATAATAATGCGCGGCGGCCACTCTGTAATTTGGATTGTGTGTGTAAACATAATGAAATGGTTGGAAGCTGGAATTTCATACGTGAGGAAAGGAGGAGGTCTTTTTTACCCAGGCTATAGGTCCGTAAGAAGTAAGTAATGGAAGAACGTGTGTGAGTATGAGATGAAGATGATGATGAGCCTAAATTATCTCATAGCAGCTTCTATGTCATATCTTGCTTAAAAGTATTCTTGTATACAAAGTTCTCATCACAACGAAAAAAATCTTGTTAAATATAACTCTAAATTAAATTACAGACTTTTTGTTTGACCACAGATAAAAAATAAAAACAAATTCTCACCCAGGTATGGTATTTATCTTTTTAGAAGGGTCTCTTTAGCTCAGAATGAAATTTTTTTTATTGGTCTTTATATTTATAAAATATTGTAAAATATAATGACTGTAAATTATATTATATCGTTTTGAGCAGACTGCGTTTTGATCTCTTTTCCTAAGTCAAGAAAAAGTATTTATTATTTGATATTTTCTTTCTTCTCTTTTGAAACTTTAATACTATCATAATTTAAATAACAAAAATTTTTATTATCGTATTAATTATTTTTCAGGTGAAAAGAAAATGCTGTGTAATAAAACCATTAAAATTTAATTTTATCAATGACGTTGAAAATGTAATAGGACGTTTATTACATATATTTATGAAAAAATCGATAGCAAATTTTTGCAAATGAAAGGAATACTATCTGTGTTTATCTAAATCAGACTTGAAAAATGGTTGTTTTATATCTCTTTTTAACATTTTGTTTTTCATGCGAAAATTGAAATAATACACATACCATTCAAAATGGATTTGAAACAAAAAACTTAAATAATGCACATAATTATTTTATCCTCTTTTTAAATTTAATTGATATGTAAAAAAGACATACATGGGCAGAGCGCACTTTGCGCTCTGCGATCTGCACTCATGAGCGCAGAGCGCGATCGCACGATTTTATAAATCGTGAGCGTGAGCGCAGAGCGCGAGCGCATTGGTCGCTGAGCGCAGCGCTCAATTGCGCTCATTTTGCGCTCAAACCAAAAGTAAAAATTCTCGAATTTGATCAAAAATTATAATGAAAAACAGTGTTTTTATACCAAAAACTTCAAAACTGATCCCAATTTTGGTGATTTAACTTCAACTTTATCATTTCCAATTGCCGATGTATTTTTTGTTACATTAAAAAATTGTCTTAAAGTCGCACTTTTTCTTCGGATAAAAATATTTTTGAGCGCAACGTGTGAGCGCAACATTTTCAAAATCTTGAGCGCGAGCGCAGAGCGCGAGCGCACTGTTGCCAGTGATCGCGAGCGCGAGCGCGAGCGCAAAATTGTTGAGCGCACCCATGTATGAAAAAAGATCAAAACTTTGTATGAGTATTTTACAAAATTTAAAAACCTTAATAATAAACACCAAAACAAATTAAACATTCTATTTGTCAATGATCTATTTCAACGTCTTTTTGCATCGGTCAACCCAGTTTTGATTCGCTAAATTTAGATGACGTCGTTAATATGTCTATAAAATCATTAAAGGCCCATCACACAATTTGTACAAATGAGATTTGTGAGACTGAATTAATGCCTCGTCGTTTCAAATCCAATCCAGGCCGAACCGCAGTTATATTTTCGCTCGCCGCTTCTCTCCTTGCAGTGTTTGTATGTATTTGATTTTTACGAACGGACCTCGGCCGCTTTTCATTCATATTCTAATTCGAGAGAGTGCCTGCTGCGTTGATTGGGCTCTTCATCCTCCTCACTTTTAATAAGCCGTTTCGTTTATTTGTATGCAAATTAATGATTTGGCGAGAAACGAGGTCTCCGACCAACACCTCTTGGTCTCGGGTTAAAAATAGTCAAAATTTGTTGTGCTCGCGTGCTTCCCACTTTATTTATGTTCTTCGCCTTTCCACCTGCCGCTCTTTCACATTGGTTGTTTATTTTTGTTTTCTGTCAACGAAAGTTGCTCCGAAAGTGGACCAAATGTCAAAGCGAGACGACAAGAAGCGTGAATTATTAGACATAAAAATAAACAAAGGTTATTCCACCTTTCAAAACACTGAAATTACCTTTCATTCAAACTGTGAATTAAAAAACTGCATTTTTAGAAATATTTGACAAAGTTGCAGAGTTTTAGCAAAATTCTTGTTAATGTTGGAGACGTTTCGTTTTATTTGTTTTCATCCTGTAAATAACATTCTACTTTGTGTGCTTATAAAAAAAAATTTGAGTGAAAGGAACTATTAAAATAAAACCTACTAAAAAGTGATAGAATCATCCGTGGAGAATCTAATTATGGTTTCACGGTGGGCGCTTCTAATCCATTCTCACCGTTTCCAGCCACACTCCTCTCTGCTTTTCTTCATTCTGTATAAAAAACTCATTTTATATTAGTCCACTTTCTGCCACAATTTGGTCGCAGTCGTCTTGGAACGAAAAAAAATTCGTACTAAATGTGCTTTTGTGTACATGCAACGGCGCGGCGAAAAAGCACACGTCCCCTTTCGCGATGCGTGGAAACAATTTTATTTTTTCTCACCAGCCAACCCATGGACGGTTAATTTTGTAATTATAATAATAATGCTCTCCAAAAAGTGAAATTGAAAAAATCGTCCGGGTTAATTTTCTGAAAGTTTTCGAAAGAAATAGTGATATCTGTGTGGTTTCATGGTCAAGTGAGCCTAATTAGAATTTCTCTGTAATTGAGAGAATGCTGTTCCAGATTCTCAACTATTAAGCTATTTAAATTGCTAAAAAATTAGTTAAATTAATAAAAAAGTTTTTCAGACAAAAAAGAGGCCAAAATTTTAATTTATCTCCATTGATTAAAAAATATTAAGTACTATCAAACTCGATTTGCATTGCATGTTCAATAAAAATTTCTTTAGCACAAATTTTTACTATTTATTCCCATTCAACACGCGAAATATTTCTGTATATTTTTGCCGACCTGATTTAATAACTAGAGGCACATAATAATCCAAGATAACTCCTGTCTTGGATGGCACACTTGAGTGGCTCGCATTTTCAACAAGGCGGCTGAGCAAATATAAAAAAACAATCGGCGAGTTACAGCAAACGGCGGAAGGCGCTCACCGAGAGCAATTGTTTGAGCTGCACCACTCGCATGTCCTTGACCCATAGTGGAAAATTTAGAGATGGTGCTCACTCGCCCGCGGCCCAACCTGCCTGTAAGAATCTGGGCTACTATGCAAGGAGGTGGATCACACACACACTCTTTCTCTCTCACTCGGTTGGTCCTCTCGAGTGCTGCTGCCCAAAGGTGTAAGGTAACGGGAGATGACCTCCCTGGTCCTGCCCTCTCCAGCAGAACAGGCGTGCATGTCTATAGTCTTATGTTTCTATACAACACGCCAAATTGCTGTGATTTGTAAAAAAAATATGCCAATTGATGGATGATGAAAAGAAAAAAAAACAGGATAAATTTTTAGAAATAAGAAAAAATTTGGCCAATTTTCTAGGTCATTTTTTAAGACAATAATAAATTAATAAATTATTGGTTGGATAGTAAACAAATGAAAGGAGAGACGTTTTATTTAATTTTCTTTTTACTCTCTAATAGAAAAGATCATTTTATCATCGTCTGTGGGAAAGTGCTGCGATGAAAACCCACAGGGAAACTGCGTTGTTGACGTAAGGAAAGGCTGCCACCGCAATTCCGAACTCAATCTCTGCGTCTCGCAAACTGTGAAGTTGTGTAGAAAAAAGGGTTCTGATCACCTCTTTGTCGTCGGCGTAAGTTAAGTGCAATGGAAATCCAATCATCTGAAACAAAAATAAAAATTATTATTAAATTATTGAACCAAATAAACTAACTTTTGCAACTAAATTAAAAACTAAAAATAAATTAATCTACATTAAAATCATTGGTCACAAATTACTACCAAATTTATTTTTATATTTTCATAATGTGTTGAAATAATTTGTGATTTTGCTAGTTTAAAACCAATATTATTAATTAACAAACCTTGTGTGCAGCGATTAAAGGCTGAAGTTCCCTCATCGCCTCTTTTTTACTGTGGCCGCTGTTCTCCAAAATAGGAAGCACTTTTCTTAAAACAGAGCAGCAGTGCCGATTCCATCGAGTTCTGAATAAAACTTTTAATGAAATATTTTCCGTATCAAAAATTCTTGCTCCAACCTGAGATTGGTTCTCCAGGTCATAAAGTTGTCCTTGAGCGAACTTTCCAGACGCGCAACGAGCTCCTTACACGAGTCTTCCGGTGTTCTGGTGAACTGCACCGTTTCCGGTTGCAAGGCCGCTTCGGGCCCCGGCACAGCCACGATGCTCGCCGGTGCAAAAGCGGCCAGCCAGTCGGACGCACGGGACAAATCGAATCTCATTCTGCGGGGCGCACTTTCTCTTTGAATATTTGCCCAGATCTGGATTTAAGAGAAATTAAATTTAAATAAAAATATTTTCAGTTTTTTTACACACATTTTCATGATTTACAACGGCCCAAGCGAGGGTTGCCGGACAAAAAGGGTCGTCCAGTTTGAAGTTCTGGCCGGTGCAAATGTCCCATATGAGCATTTCGTTCGGGGACTCTTTGTTTTTCGTCAGGACAAAGTACGCGGCCCCTCTTGTAAAACCCCAGCCGACCAAAAGCCATGCATCCATATTCAGACTTTGTAACAAACAAGTCAGAAGAATCGCATTTGACATAATGTCGCCATAGCAAAGTTTGAGAATTTCCTAAATTTTAATTAAACAAATTTTATAAAATGCATTTTATTAAGAAAAATTATTACTTCGGCTGACAAACAGACGCTTGAACTTGTCCGAGGAATGAGAGAAACAAAACGAGACGCTAATTCCGCTGACGATCTTCCGTGACTTTCTTTTAATTCTAAAAATTTATTTATTTAGCTTTTAAGAATTTAAAATATTTATATTTGCCTGGTGGATTAATAGGTCGGAATAACCTCGTCACGCAAACCGTTTTTCCATTTGAAGTGGCGACCAAAGTCGGAACTTTCCGATCGGAGAACAAAGCAGTGACTTGCGAATTCCAGTTTTCCAAGTGACTCTCTAGAGCGCTACTCTCCAAACACTCTAATCTCTCCGTCTGGAATTAACAAATGTCAAGACCACCTCTTAAAAATAAGTATTTGCAATGAAAACCGTTTCTGGTTCCGTGGCAACCATGGGCGGCTGCAAGGTGACGAAAAAATTGAGAAAAGTGCAGCTCGAGCCCCTCGGCGAATCCAACGGACCCAAAAGTGGACCAAATTGTCTGCTCTGCTCCTCTTGCTCATAGCCAAGCAATAATTGTTGCATATTCAACGGAAAAGTTCCGTCGATCTGTGAAATAATTTTTCATTTTCAAAAGTAAAATTTGAAATTTTTGTAGACCTTTGAAGTTCGTTGGACGGCGGAAAAAGGAATGTTTATCGCGCCGAGCCACGCTTTCTCATGTCTTGTGTGAACGTCAATGTCCCGCAACCTTTCGTCATCCAAAACGTCAACAACTATTTCGTCAAATAGGCGAATGCTGATCAAATCGTGATCAAAAACCTCCTCTCTATAATTAAAAAAAAAAAAATATACATGGTTGATTTATAAAAATGTTTAAACTAATGAATTTTACTATTATTTAATTATTTTCTTCTTATTTTTAATTTTTTTATAATAAATTTTAAATGATAATAATATTAAAGATGAAAATTGAAACAACTTAAAATTTCTTTATATATTGAGAATGAAATATGCTAACCAGTAGGGCAAGCATGATTTATTGCTGTTAAAAATCCAAATATCAAATTGGTTTTTTTTTGTATTTTTTGTTTTTTCTCTTTTTTTATTAATAATTTATGTTGCTTAAAATAAATGGAGTAAAATTTGATGGCAAATGAATAAAATATTTTACTGTATGGGAATTTGCAGTTCACTATTCCACGTTGGATTTGCACCTTCGGCAGCCCTCGTTCTGGCGGTCGCACCCTTAAAACTGACCTCCACAAAGGGCCGAACGGCGACCGTGTTAAAAGTGGCGTTGGTGGGACTTGACTCGAAGAAGGCCCCTGCAGAAGAGGGCTCCAGGTCGAGATCTTTGCGCGTCGGCACCTGCAGGGCGCTCACGACGTTGATGATCAAAGTGGTGCTGAGGGCAGTGGTGCCCGGCAGGGCAACGTGCGGCCGCGGTTTTCGCATCGGACGCAAAGGCCGCGACGGTTGGAACCACGCCATCAGTGTGAGGCCCAAAGTTCTAATTCAAATCATTTTTAGCAATATAGATTTTTTTAAAGAAATTACATTGGAATTCCTCACATATCTAAGTAAAAAAATCAAACGCCTAAAAACTTTGCCCAAAAATCAGTAATTGTAACATAGCTAAAATGAGTTTTTGATTTCTTTTGAATCAATTTTTTTTGAACAAAAATTTTCGTAGAATCCTCTGTGATCTTTGGAATGTTGAGAATCTTTAAAATTTTTTAATTCGGATATTAAAACTATTAAAATATAATTCCAAAACTGGTTCATGAATTTTTTTTGAACAATGAAAACAACGCGATAAAAAAAATATAATTGAAATAAAGTTATACCCTATGTCTGGAACTAAATCTTCAGTCACAAGTTCTCTCATCGTTTTCCTTCTACTCGAAAGTCGTCCTTGTCTCTGAATCTTTTCTTTGATTTCTCGAATCGAGTTCAAGGCCCACGCCCTGTGATTCGCCAAAGAATCGTCTGCTTCCTCCTCAATGAAATTTGACTGGCGTGACTGCTGCCAATTCCGCTCTTTCAATTCCTAAAAATTCTGAAGATTAACTTTTTTCTAATTTTTTGATTTTCCAACTTTTAAAAGTCCTTCTGGAAGTTCCCTCGCGTTTATTGGCACCATTTTCATGTTGCAAAAACCAGGGTGACCCTGTTCTCTCAATTCCAAAATTTTTAACCTGGCGTCGCCTTCTCTGAATTCTGCCTCAGTGCAAAAATTCAAGTCTGACGTTAAAGGGTCTGCGCTTGAATCGTCCAAGGCGTGTTCCTTAATTTATGTGTGTAAAAAGCTATAATTTTAATTAACTTCTCACAGTACCTTAGCTTTGGAAATGATTTCACTGTTTGCAGGATTGTTTGGATCGATACGTGATCTGTCTATCCAAACCTGTAGTTCCTCGGAAGATTTTGGCACTTTTCGAGTCGAAACAGTACAGCTTGTTTCCCAAAAACGACCACTTGGTTGGTGCAAATTTCCTTCGGCGTCGCTGCCCCAGCCCGTTTTGCACAACACGTACCCTGAATGTGTTTCGCTTCCGAAAAATACTTTTTCCACTTGAGCCATTTCTCGCGTACATCCTTTTTCGGGCAATGGTAAACTAACCTTGAAAATTATATAAAAAAAGTTAAATTTTAATAAAATATAACATAATATTGTACCTCTGATAGAATTGTTCTTTTGATGGCAGATTGCTCCAAAATTTGGATGCTGAAATTTTGCGGCCAATGCACTGCAGAAAGTGGCAGCATTATGCCCATTTCAAAACTGAAAGTCTGGCTATCCAAAACATAAGGCATGGTTTGGCAAACTTCACTGTTGTTGTACAAAACTTTGAGACAGATTTTTTGGCGTTGCAAGTGGTTTTGAAGACGATTCTGAGCCCTTAGTTAAAATTTGTTCGTAATAAGTTAAATCTTAATTCAAATTAAAAAATAATTATTACTTAAGGCTTCTTGCATCGCTGCTAATTTCAAGATCTTGCGTCAATAGAAGTGTCATTTCAGGTTCTCCAGGAGGCTTTAAAGACTCCTTTAGCAGTTTAGCAGCTTTTTCGACCAGATCAGGACCTTCACTCTCTTCATTTTCCTCCTCCTTGATAAGAAGAAATTATAAATGGGTTTGAATTTTAATTTGTTTGCACCGTTTTCTCTCTGCGTAGTTCGCGAACTATTTGTTTCAGAGTTTCCTTCCAAATTTTTTCCTCTCTTTTCCTTCGCCCATCAGAAACAGTGCCCTGATTAACTGTGAGTTTAGTAGGGCACCCAACAAATCCTTGCCTTTCCCTCAAATCTTGCATTTCCTGCCAAACGGCGAGGACTGCGGACAAAACTGATCTTTCGGCGGCACCTTCCAGTAAAGTTGTGGTCCGCAAGTCTTTTATTTCCAACTCGTAACTTAATCACCAAAATATATTAATTAAAATTTCATTCATTAATTCTATTTTATTTGAGTTAAAAATACCGTTTTATTTTTTCTTGCATTTCTTCATCTTTTTTACTGCGCAGCAATTCGTATGCATGTCTCAAAGCTGTCAACCTTTTTGACATCCGTTCGAACGACCTGGCTGCCAACTTTTTCTGGTAGCAATAGAACGTCTCCGTCAACCTTTGTGCCAAGGAATGCTCGTTGGTGAAGAGCGGATGCTGCGTGAAGTGCAAACTGTTCAGCTGCAGTTCGAGCAGGATCATTGTGTCGCTTGAAGGGATGAAACTTTCAATATCTTGGTTGCACTATTAATCATGTTTATCTAATTGTGTAATAATGATAAAAACTTTACTACGTCTTTGAAAATGGTGCCAATTGTGATATTTTCTTCGTCAAAATTCGGTCTGACGGGATTGTCAAGCATTTCCTCCTCGCAACTTTTTAGTTCTCCATCTTCTTGAAACCATTTGCTAATTTAACAAATAATTATTAGATTTTTTATTATCATCTAAATAGAAAGGCAAAAAGATGTTCGTGTTTATAAGGAAGCCAAAAGTAAACACGTATTGCGTCGTGATTTGCTTGTCCGGGAGGATAAAGTTTCCAAGAATATGTAAATAATATCAAATGTCCTGTTTGAATTGCATACTTGTTAGCCGGATTATCCGTCACGAGACGTCTCTCCATTTTGCTCCTCATCTTCCACCTCACGTTCGGCAAAGTTGGCACATAAATTCCCTCTTCCTCCAGAAATCTGACCCGGCCACTCGACCCCAATTTTTCCTCCGTTACCACTAAACTCGATGAATTTTATTTTATTTTATATTTTTCAATATAGCATAAAACTTTAGACCTGCTTGTGATGAAGGGTAGTAAAGGATTTGCGACAAATCGGCCACATTTTCCGGACTGGCCTCTTTAAATTCGGCCACAGAGGCAGAGGCACCCAAGAGCTCTTGCAAATTGGTGACATGAGGAGGGCTCTCGGGAGGCTCAGCTTCGTCCTTAGCATTCAGAGATCGGCGACTTTTTTGCACGGCCTCTTCCATCGTTCACTTAATAGTGTGTCGTGGGTTTGTTTTACACGCGAATGGTGTTTATTTTGGCCGCGGTTACCATGGATTCACCGGAGAGGAACGAGGGAGGACGACGAGGGCGGCTGGGACCACTTGAGCGTAACGATGACCACCAGTAATGAAAACGGTTAAAAATAAGCAATTCTTTAAAAGATGAAAATAATGAAACTAATATTTTATATGTATAAAAAAGTGGAATTAATAATGATGCAGGTGTAATTGTCAAAGAGCAGTTTGCACTGGTACTCAAGAGCAGTTATGAACATAATTGTAATAATATAATAAATTAAGGTATACTAAAAATGAATAATAAAAATTTAATTTTATAATCTTATTCCTAACTTGTAATTTTTTGTATTTAAATTATTAAACAATAATAATTTTAAACAATACGTTTGAAATTCTCATTATATCAAAAATAAATACAATTAACTAGTGTCAAATTGATAAAATTGAAATTTTTTAATTTAAATTCGTAAAGAGGAGGTAGAATAAGACACATGAAATAAATATTCAATAATTTTAAAATGATTATCAAGCCAGAACATATAAGTGAATGCAAAATTAATATTAATCAATTTTTCCTGACAACTTCACAAGCCAAATTTTTCCACAAACTAGAGGGAATTTCTACACTTTAAAACAGGTATTATTTAAAAATATTCAGCAATTACCTCAATAAAAGTTAAGAGCCATCAGTATATAGCAAATTATTAATGTACAGTTAGCGTTACTATTGCTTTAAAATATTCCTCCTAAAAATGCAATGCTCGCGCAGAGTTGCTATTAATTTTTTTTTTTGCAATTGAGCGAAGCAATAAAGGTTCTTTTTCATCGCAGCCGAGTCCTACTTCTTATAATGTAATAAACTTGACCATCACCGCGGCATTTAATTATATAAAGGAATCCAGCTCTGGTATTCGGAGAGTCGAATTATTAGAAAGTTGGGAGAGCGGAAGAAGAAGAGGAGAGAGATGAATATTCATTCATTTTGTATATTATATTTGTACCAGCTATCATAAATTTGTATAAAAAAAGCAGCAGGCCGGCTAGTCGTAAACAAATTCAGCAGATTGCGCGTGAAAATTGGATCATCTCGCACACACGCACCGCGAGAGAGTGAGCTTGTAAAGTAATTTGCGCACGAACGGGTTTCCGAGAGGAATAAGGAAAGCAAAGAAGCAGAAGACCTGCAATTAATTTTAAGAGGGCCACACACCAGCTGCATTGATTAACATCAAGATGGATTCAAAATGAGACCATATTAAATTGCTTTTTGGTCAATTAAAATATTTAAACAGAGGGAAAGAAAGAGTGAAAAAATGGATTGAAATCAGCGGAGATCAGAAATAAATAAATGACGTAAAACCTGAGAAACAATGAGAAATTTCCACTTGAGAAGACATTCATGCTGAAATGGTTGATTCTCATTTTTATTTATTCCTTCTAACTGAAAAAATCGGCATATGTTTGTATTAAAAAAGGAAAAAAAAGTTGGCATTATAAGTTTGATTGATTTTTAAAATAAAAACTATGAAACTTTTTTATTCTTTAGCTAATGAATTTTTGACTTTCAGACATATAAAATTTAAATTTGTAGGCACTTCTTTCTTGTGAGCCATAAAAAAACCTATTAAATACATAACATATAAAAAAAAATTCTAGCTGGTTCTAAATGTGGCTTTTCTTTTTAATTTGACGCCCGCCTGAATAGGAAATAAATCAGAATAAATCAAAAGTTTGAAGTGTCAAACAATCAAGATGCACCAGCAGGCGCACGGAACCAAATTCTCTTGCGCTTTTATCTAGATTTAAAATCGCTGGGTCACTCTGAATTCTTCTTGAAATTTGAATGAATGTTACCTGCTGGTAACATGGATCAGAAAAATGGGCCAGATATTTCAGATGGAGGTGTTGTTTAGATTGCTTGATGACAGGCACGATACTATTAGACCGGTTAAACCCCTGAATCTTGACCAAGAGCATCATATCGAGGCCACCTGGATAACTTTTTTTGAATATAATTAAGAAAAAAAAATCAAAATTGAAACAAATTTACAAATTTTCTATGGATAATTTCAATATATTTCAAAGTAGGTCATTTTGATCTTATTCTCATCATGATCATGCAAATTCTGACAATATGCTGTTGCCAAGAGCAATTTTTTTTTATTCATTTATACGAAAAATGGTTTTGGAAATTTGCCGAGCGGCGACATCTATAAAAATGGCATCAGAAGATAATACGCGAATGGTCCAAAAAGATAATGCCTCGCCTCGCTGACCTGGTTGTATATTTATGCATAAAAAATCCCGTTGAATCGCAAATTCTACATTTTTATTTTCAATAAAAATAAAAACGGTTCAAAGGAAATTCCCGGCACCCTTTGCTCTTCTCCATCAGGCCATAAATTATATCCGAGGAGGAATTCTTCGATGCACTTAGGCAATTACTCTTCCTATCGGCCCCTTATTAATCAGCTTTTCATATACGACTCCTTTGTTAAAAACACATCGGCGGGACGATTATTAAACTAACTGTTCGTTTTATTATCCAAGAGCCGACGTTATGTTTATTTTCGATTAAAAGCGCATAAGAAAGAAAAATTTAAGAAGCGGCTGCAGCTCCTTCGCTCATATGTAGGTAATAATAACACACCTTTACAGACAGACGTGTCTTCTTGTCCGGGCTTATCTATCAAATCTCTAAGTGAGTAATATTTTATTATGTGAAGCACGCCCTCAGCTGCACGGATATATCAGCTCGGAAATGGTTTTATGATTGACTTAATTCTTTCTAAGCTCCCGCCGCCACCACGTTTTGATAATAATGGATGGACCGTTTGAAAATGTTTAAAAATGTATTGTGTGCTGACGATTAATTCATATTTATACAAAGTTATCTACATATCTGGTCTGAATCCACAGGCGCCTTGATGCGCACAAAGGATTCACTGCACTCCAGAGAATGGCCCTAAACTAAATATTAGTTATAAGATCATAGAGACATTATGGATTTGGCATTGATATACATTAAATGAATGAATTATTCAAAAACCATGTAATTTTCTTGCATATTACTGAAAATTAAATTTAAACCCACTTCACTATAAAAAATTAAATAATGAAAACAAGTAAAATATAATAATTTATGGATTTAAACCTACATAAAATAACTATTGCATAAATTTAACTGAAATAAGTATAAATAAGTTGAATTAATTAATTGGTTGCAAGTTTTAAAAATTACAAACTAGAAGGCTTTCTTAATTTTGAGTTGAATAGTCGCAATCATCCTTTCCAATGCCTGCAAAAAGAACACGCACCGCATACGCTGAAAGACTTCTTTCTTTTTATGTAACGCCGTAATGGTGCATTGTGCCTTTTAAAATAATTATTGGCCTAATGAACTCGCGTGAGAATTCTAACACCCCAGTTTTCGCGCACAAAATAAATTCCTACCATTATCTTGCATTGTCCCGTGTATTTTTTTTTCGGTGGCTAGACGCTTTATTTATCTCTGTTCCATCTCATAAGTTAATCCTTTGAAATTAAAAAAAAACCAGGCGCATCGTGATCCCTTTCGGCTTTTGAACTTCAATTTTCTTCTCACCACGATATTTTGCAAAATTCATTCATTTTACACACGCTGTACACGGCTACAAATTGATATCACTTATAAATGTTTGTTTTCTCCTTTAAAAGACATATTAAATTAAAAACTAGAAACTTTCAACAGGGAATAAACTCCTTCACGGATGATTTAATTACAACCTGACAGGTTTCGAGTCGGGAAAGGAATCCCGTGTCCATTTTTTCTTTTTAGGGACAGGCGTAATAAATTCATTCCAATTAATAAACAACAGTTATAATAAAGAGACCCTAATTGCGCCATTAATCTTTCCTGAGATGCACAAAAAGAGAATCGGTGAAACCGACGCGCCCCACGCAGCAGGGATTTTTTTGATAATTCCATTAGGGGAAAGGAAGGTTTTTCGTTATGATCTTCTCGTCATAATATTTTCGGCGGACTTAATGAGCCTCCCAATGGGGGTTAAATTAGACTCGCATGTCTCGAGATTAGAGAAGACCCACTTTTTATTAATTGGAAACATATGCGGCTTATTATTTCCAGTTGTCATGATGACGTCTTCATCTCCGCTGATTAGCTCCAACAAAAAAAGCAAACATGCTATTGATTCGAGAGGAATATATGTGAATGACGAGAGGAATCATAAATTAATTTTTATAAAATTAAATATTATATTCCTGGTCATTGTATCAGTGCAATTAACGGAGCAATATTTATTAAAAATCTAGGAATTGTTAATAAAATTAAATTATTCATAACTTTTGATTAATTCAAAATATGGGTTCAAATCCGTCCGCATTTTATCTTCCCGCATCACAACTGGATCACCATTGTGTTGACTCGGAAGAAATTTATAGCTGTCAAGACGTAAAATCAGCACCATTATTTATTCGGCAATCCAGATTGCAGGCAAACTCATAAATTAGGATATTCGCGGACAGGTGTGCTATTGCTAACTTTAGGGTTGATAGAGACATCATGTCAATATGGCCTCATAAATAACGCGTTGATCTGAATACAATTTTTGTTTTCAGGGCAGGGCTGTTGTGGGCGCGGGAAAAGTGCTGATGAATCACAAGGCTCGTCCGCATACCAGCAGCGGATTTCTCTATCGGAATATAAACGAGGTCTGCCTATTGCGAATTTGAATAAAAGAAAGGAGAGAGAAAGAAAGAGAGATGAGCTGGCAAAGATTGGGCGAGAAAGGTCAGGGGCGGAGTGGGTCACCGGACACGGTGCGGTGCAGAGACGGGCGGGCGGGCCGGCGCACCCGCGTCCTTTTCAAAAATTAATTTATAATACGCAAATCTCTTACGGTACCCAGGCGAAAATTTTTCCCTCGCATTCAGATCCATGCTCATTGATTGTTGCCAACAAAAGT